CCTCTGGGGCTCAGCCACTTTTTAGAGACTGCAAGCCCCCCAAGAAGATAATTTTTGGTGGCTGCTGTGGTACTATTTTACTGTGCTCAGTGTCATTGATGGCCTTCATAGAATTATTTGAGTTGGAAAGGATCCCTAAAAGCCATCTAGTCCAATTCCCTGCAATGAACAGAGACACCTACAGCTCCATCATGCTGCTCAGAGCCCAATCCAGTTGGACCTTAGATGCTTCCAGGGATGGGACATCTACTTCTCTGGGCAACTTGTGCCAACGCCTTACCCTGCTTACTGTAAAAATCTTTTTCCTTATATCCAGTCTAAATCTCCTGTTTCTCCCCGCTCAGCTACGCAGCACCCCACTGCACGTAGCTGTGAGAACAGGGCAGTACGACTGTGCCGAGCACCTCATTGCTTGCGAAGCAGACCTCAACGCCAGAGACAGAGTAAGTTCCACCAGATCCTTACCCTCGGAACTGGACTGCTGCCTGTCTTCATGGTTCCACTTCCCCTTGAAAACCCCTGGTGACACGGTGCGGCCTGGTCTGTGGCGCAGGCTGACCCATGTCTCACCCTGTAGGAAGGTGACACACCAATGCATGACGCTGTCAGGCTGAACCGCTACAAAATGGTCCGGCTTTTGATTCTCTACGGGGCAGATCTTACCATTAAGAATGGCGTAAGTAATTCAGAAGTTTTCCTTCGGAGCAGCTTTGTGGGTTTTAAGGCTAGAAGAGACTATTGTGAACAGACTTAATTAAATCACTGTACAGTTAACTAAAGAACAGCTCACACAGGGAAAGGGCAACTTGGAGGAGGTCAAGGAACAGATGAAAAAAGCAATACCTACACTAAAAGCACAATCTATCAGCTGCAACTTAAACGACCACCACACCCTATTTTACTTACATATTATATTAAGACCCATGCACACAGTTGCTGTCTGCGCAGCTCCTGGGCTTCAGTCACACTGAGATCACAACAGGAGCCCCATGGCTTAAGAGATCTACCTTAGCCAGCACCAATTAATGCTTCTGATTAGCAATCAACTACACCTGGAGAAAGTAAGGGAGAAATCAGTCCTTGCCCCAACCTGCAAAGCCACTCCCAGTGTTTCCCCTCACCCAGGTATGAAAATGAGGAAGAAGGCAGCCCAAAAGGCACAAAGTGTACTCACTCAGGCTTTGCGCAGTAAAGTTGCTCCTGTTTAATTTAGATGTTGTCCATAATTTAATTAAGCATGCACATACTCTTATCCAAATTCTCAAATCAGTTTAGATTGGACCCAAAGAAACAGTGGCATGCTCTGCTAGTCACACTGTTTGCTAACACGGCATAGGCCCACTCACATACACAGAAATTTCATCAGGAGGCTGAACAGACAGGGGATAGGAGGGCAAAATAACTCAGGAATGAGAGTACCTGATCCTGTGCACGTAGAAGAAGTCTCACATCAGATGCACTACGCAAATATTTAGGGAAGAATAAAGGAATAAATTCACCAGCTGAAATTAGATCTTGCTTTCTCTTTTCATCTTAATCAGGATGGAAAAACCCCTATGGACCTCGTTCTTCAGTGGCAGAATGGCACCAAAGAGCTGTTCAACAATCTGAAGAACAACTCCTATAAAAGCACCCAACTAAACAAGTTTTGAAGAGACAAAAGCCAGACTGCTCTCTTTTTGCTGCTTTTAAATGCTTCGCATGATCCTCGAGGAAAATAGCCCTGAACATACTATATTTATTTAAGATATTTATTGTACTAAATTATTTGAAATGCCTTCACTGAAAATGACAATTCAGGCAGATTGAGAATTAAGTTTCCACTGGTTTTAAAATAGCTTTATTTATTCCTATTTATTTCAAGGGTAATTTTTAATGGTTCTCAGTATTAATTTTTTTATAGTTTTAAATTGCAATGCAATCTTTATCAGCAACATGAGCCATTTTATCTTGATGGCACTATTACCAACCTTAGCAACTTCCATCAAGCCTTCCCACAGTTCTCAGTAGCTAATATTTGCAATTGCTGCCATGCCTCTGCAAAATTCTCACTTTCAGAAAACTGTGTTACATGAGTGGTGATATGTGGAAGAGAAAAGGAGTAATGGAAGAAGGTCTGCTGAGACCCCAAGTGGATTTAAAGGAATAGCTATGTAATGGGGTTTAAACGTGCTAAAGTGATTGTGGCTGATAAAGAGCTCACGGACAGAGCTCCATCATGTAGCCATATGGACTGCAGGATTCAGATGCAACGTGATGAAGGTGAGAGGAGACGGTATTGGAAATGTGGATTTCTTAAAGCTGGACTACTACAGAGTCCGATGATCGAAGAATGTAAAAAACAGATGATGTATATTTGTAAATTTGTACTGCTTTTTCTGTACATTTTGTACTGACTTATCTCAGATTAAATAAACAGCGTGGTTCTTTGTACTTGCTAGAGTGTATTATGGAACAGTAAGCATGCACCAGACAGTTCTCTTCCTCAGTTCAGACCTTAGCCTCTAAAATTTATAGATACTAAAAAAAAAGTCTCAGCTGCCTAAAGCAGCCAGCTCTTGATCTACCTTCCTGCCACTGTCAGACAAATACTGTCTCTTATTTTCTTCCATTATGCAGAAACACACATACAGAAACAGAAAGCCAGTACTTAAGTGGCTAGTAAGATACAAAGTTATGCTTTTATCACTGAGCTTGATTTAAAATCCCCTTTTCTCAGCAATCAGTACTTACTGTGTGGAGCACACAAGACAGCTTCAATTGTCCCAGTCAAGGAAGACGTGCAATCCTGCTAGGAAAGAAAGGTATCTTTCCCCTTGCTTTAGTACAGGTAGATCAATGTTAATAGGCTTGTCAGCAGAACCACTGATGTGAAATTTCACTAGGACATCACATGCCATGTTCAGTTAAAATCTGAACATCCCATGGAGCAGCCTCCCAGTGAAATATGCCACAGGCTCCCATGAAGATTCAGCAGTCAGTAAAGCTGGCTTCTAATGAGCAGACTTTACACTGTGGCCAAAACAAAGTCCTGGGCAATGAAACAATGGACAGTGATGAGTATTTGTTACTCGAATGCCAGTCTTGGAAATGAATTTACAGAAACCCCATAAGGAGCAGGCAGAACAAATGCCTATTCAATCTGCAACCAGCTACCGTGCGCTGAAGCAACAGATTTAGACAGATGAGACTTTTCACACAACAAGCACTGTAATTTGTGTCACCTGAGAACACATTTTTTTTTTTTTTCATAAGAACCATGTCATGTCTGCTTGCTATCCTCCTCTGCAACCTACTATTTCTGTACTTGTTTCTGCACAATCATCTGGACATTGGGAGTGTATCTTCCAGGAAACAGGAATTACATCAGTGCTGGCTAACTCATCTTGACTATCTTAATAACTGAGCAGCAGTTCAGTGCTCCTGGAAGCTGGGAGAAAAAGAAACTTTCCACACAGTTCCTGAAGCACTGTACCTTCTTAAAGAGCAAAGATGCAGATGTTACATTTTCTGGATGAGATCAAACAAGTGACAAGGAGGATATCTTGCATTCAAAAGCTTCCTTCTGCATGCTGGTTACAAAACAACTCTCCTCATGCTCAGGGTTGATGAGTCTCTGGCCAAGGTATATGACTTATAAAAGTTACACTTTACAGGCACATTTCCAGTGCTTCTTTATTTGGTTAGAACCTTACTTTAGAGGCAAGTCCATAAATAAGAAGCCACTATATATAATATCAATATCAGTATTATATCTCAATACTGCAATAAAGCACTCACGTCATGATGTCGACCAGTAAAATAAAATCAAAGGAAAACTAATTTTATTGCTTTTTGAATGATGCAAAAGCTGTTGTGACTTACACCAGCGTTTTATAAAACTGTGACTCTACTGAGAGCTTTGTTAGCTCCTAAGAGCTCAGAGAAAACCCACCGCAAGGTTTCTGCGGTACTTTACACATCACAACTTGTGCTTCTCAGCTTGTTGTCAGGTAAGAATAGAGAATCGCAGAATCATTAAGGTTGGAAAAGATCACTAAGATCTGATCCAATCATCCCTCTACACGAAGCCCACTAACCACACCACATCCATGACTTTCTTGAACATGTCCATGGACAGTGAATCCATCACCTCCTGGGCAGCCTGTGCCAGTGCATCACCACTGCTTCTGAGAAGAAATTTTTCCTAATATCCAATCTGAACCTCTCCTGCTGCAAACTGAGGCCATTACCTCTCGTTCTACCATTGTTACCTGGAAGAGGTTGACCATCACCTCATTATAACCTCCTTTCAGGGACATGTAGGGGAACAATAAGGTCTTCCCGGAGCCTCCTCTTCTCCAGACTGAACAATCCCAGTTCCCTCAGCCCGTATTACCTGTTTTCCAGATCTTTCACAGCTTTGTTGCCCTCCTCTGGACATGCTCCAAGGCTTCAGCATCTTTCATGGGGCAACACAGAATTGGAATATTGGAATATTCAGAGTAAAGGTGCCACAAAAGCATCTCAAGTACAGCATCTTACATAATTTTTATATTGGTCAAAAGACAAACTTCAGTCAACATTTGGAAGATGTCTGAAAATGCCTCACTGTGTTGTGACTGCTTTTTTGGATTAGATTTACTGAAGCACTAACGGGAAGTTAATTGGAAAGTCAGGAGGCAGCAAAACAACCTGGACATAAAAAAAAAGACATAACAGTAAAAGTTGTGTGACATGGAGACTGCTCAGGCCTAGGTGAGACAGCTGTTATGCTGCAACTGCACACCATGCTGAGCACACATTCAGGATAACCTTGGGCTCTTCCTGTCCGTGGCAAATGTCTCATGTTACTGTTCGGCTTTAAGTTGGGATGGTTTGATTCCAAAGGCAGAGAGAACCTTTGCGCTGTGTGTCTAACAGGTTGATTTAGTCACTGTTCCTCTGACACAAACTCAAGATTTCTCCTAGCAAGCAATAGATGCTAGGATTGTTATAGTTATTGATCACAAAACAGAAGAGAGAGCAGATAAAGTTTTTACTGCACAATTATTCTCTCAGGCCATTTAAGGTAAACTTTACTGACTCCTGGTTCTAAGGTTTAGTACAGAGACATGTTTTAAAACTTTAGTTACTATAAGAGTGAGACTTTACAGGCATGCCTTCTTGAAACCATTTTTAATTAAAAAAAAAAAGAAAAAAAAAAAAATGCAGTTGACACAATGTTTCTGTCTTAGGGATACTTTCTATTGTGCAAGTTCACTGATTCCAGAAGACCCAGGACAAGGTGGAGTGATTCCCTCCTGCCCTTGTCCAGAAGCCCAGCAATAGGATTCCCACAGAACTCCTCACTTAAACCAGAAAAATAATTATTCTTTAGGCTAAAAAAAAAAATAAAAAAATCAGTAAGTGAGGAACCAAGCCAGTCGGAAGGTGGAGGAAGACTCAGCCACTGAGTAAAGACTGTGCGGAGGCTCCTGTTGACAACTGGTTCAAGCTTGAGTCTTAGCCTTTTTGCAGGCTGGCACAGTTTCTTCCTCCTCAATTTTGTGAAGCTTCTTCACTGTGTACACTACCCCACAGGCACTCTTCCGAGTTTCTGGAATATACAAACAAAACTGAATTACCTCAAATAAACCTACACTAATGCACTTCATGCACACTCACTGCAATTCAGCATGTTTCCCAGCCAGCCACGCAGCACACACAGCAGGTAAGCAACCTGCATTGGCAGAACATAGGACACACTCAGGAAACTGAAGTGGGAAATATGAGGTTGGGTGCAGAAATAGAGCAAGAATGAGGGAGTCTGCTGGGACCTGGGGGGGAGAGAGGGTGGAGAGGACACGCTTGAAACTGAAGGAAAGCACGCTTTATTAGTTCTGTATCCACAGAAAGACACATTCTTGAACACATGTCAAAAAAGCATTTCAGTATTTCTGAGCAAAACAACATTCTCAAATAAAACAAATAAATATTCACATACTTCAGGGTTCTTAAAAAGGCTACACTGGCACAGCTATATTGGCAGAGGCTCACATATACAAACAAAGTAAGCAGCTTCATAGCATTCAAACAAACATATTTTATTTACAGAACTCTCGGCATTACCATATCGTGCTACTCTTGGTACTCCTCATATGTTTGCCAAACACCCAGTAAAACCAGTCCAACTTCAGAACCACTAGTATAAGGCTTCTCTGCAAACTGCAGATTTGAGGTAGACAAGGCTACTAACAAATACTCTTGCTAGCAAAGTGGCTTCGTACGAAACTTGCCAAAATATACTGACTTACTCTGGTCTACTATTTTTTGGGGCATGGGAAAATTACACCTGTTTTGTTTTTTTTTTTTTTTTTAACTTCATAGATAAGAAAAATGAAGGTCTTGAGAAATTCCACATAAACTGGAGAGAAGTATATGCAAGTTATTAGCAAGTCTACTGATGATACAAAGTTGGGAGGATTGGCTGACACGCCTGAAGGCTGTGCTGCCATTCAGCGAGACCTGGACAGGCTGGAGAGCTGGGCAGTAAGAAACCAGATGAGGTTCAACAAAAGCAAGTGTAGGGTCTTGCACCTAGGGAGGAATAATTGCATGCACCAGTACAGGCTGGGGGATGAGCTGCTGGAGAGGAGCTCTGCAGAGAGGGACCTGGGCGTCCTGGTGGACAACAGGTTGGCCATGAGCCAGCAGTGTGCCCTCGTGGCCAAAAAGGCCAATGGCATTCTGGGGTGCATTAAAAAGAGCGTGACCAGCAGGTCGAGGGAGGTGATCCTCCCCCTCTACTCTGCCCTGGTAAGGCCTCATCTGGAGTACTGTGTCCAGTTCTGGGCTCCCCAGTACAAAAAAGACAGGGACCTCTTGGAAAGTGTCCAGCGGAGGGCCACAAAAATGGTGAAGGGCCTGGAGCATCTCCCCTATGAAGAAAGGCTGAGGGAACTGGGTCTGTTTAGCCTTGAGAAAAGATGACTGAGAGGGGATGTAATCCAGGTTTATAAATATCTGAGGTGTGGGGGCCATAGTGGTGAGGCCCGTCTCTTTCCAGTGGTACGTGGAGACAGGACAAAGGGAAACGAAGCTGCAGCAGAGGAAGTTCCTCACGAATGTGCGCAAGAACTTCTTTACGGTGAGGGTGACGGAGCACTGGAACAGGCTGCCCAGGGGGGTTGTGGAGTCTCCTTCTCTGGAGATGTTCAAGACCTGCCTGGACGCCTACCTGTGCGACCTGCTGTAGGGAACCTGCTTTGGCAGGGGGGTTGGTCTCGATCTCTAGAGGTCCTTTCCAACCCCTACAATTCTGTGATTCTGTGAGAAATTCTTCCAACACACTGTCACTATGTAGATGAGTAGTGTAGCAGGCTGGATGACCCTGTTCATAGAAATGCACTCTTGAAGAGATCAAAGCTCCTCACTGTGAATTTACAGCACATTAAAACCGCAATTCTACTAAAATAACAGATACTAACCAAATTCTATCATGAGTTTGCAACTTAGAGCAACAGAAGTTGTTAAGAAGACTAGAACCTACCTATCCAACAAATTCTAGAAGCAGTAAAAATTAACAGCTAGATACAACTTGGTGACAAAATTAAATTGCTATTAGAATACACAGTAAAAATCTAGGAACACCAAGAACCAGCAAATAAGCATATGAAAGGGAGGTCAGAGAAGGTGAATGGAAGGGTCACAAAGCAAAGCGAGTGTCTACATTGATTGCTAGAACACAAACTGCTATCAGGACATATAATAAAATCTTCTAATTTCTGCAGGTGGCAAAAAGCTAAATTTCTACTTTCTTTAATATTAAAATGGACAAATATAGAAGAAAGCTACTGCAAACTTCCTCTGGTGAGTATAAGGAAGCAAGTTTTGTTTCACCAAAACTAAAAGACATGGTACACCACATGAAACATCTCCTCCTAAGCATCAGGCACATGGGACTTCAGATTTTGCATTAAGTTTGAAATGGTCCACACCAAAAAGTGAGCTAGTCTGAAGTAGACTACATAATGAAGTATCAGGGAAACACAGCAACAACTGCTTCTGTGGTCATGCTGCAAGAGGGCAAATGCAAGAAAATCTGGATGAATGTGTTTTGAAGTCAGTGACATAGTTTCTGCTGCTGTCACAGATAGGAGCATTCAATTCTTTCTGAAACAAACGGTATTTCCAAAATGCAGGAGAATGGGCAGATCTGTGTTATAGCTAAACAATTTGTGTCTTTTTAATGTGGTTAAGCAAGTACTCCAGTACAGACAGCACTACCAATTCAGCCAGTGATTTGCTAGCACAGAAATCATCTCTTGCTGCAGAAGTTCCTTTTCACGCACTGAACAAGGGAGGAAAGACCCCAAGTTGACTTGCTCTCTATGGTCTCAGACCTTTTGGAAAACATGCACTGACCTGAACTTATCTTAACAAAGGCAAGAATTAAGTTTGCACATGCTTTTCACTTACCTCCATGAAGCATAGTGGCTCTGCAGTTGGTGGACACAGCTGCCTTGGCTTCGCCTTCAGACAAGCCAAACAGCAAGCCTCTGTCAACTTTGTTCAGGATCAAAATTCACAGGAAGAAAAAAAAAGAACAAGGAAGACTGTATGACAGATTCGCTTACTCTACAAATAACTGGGAATTAGCAGCGCTGTAACTTGGAGTGACATTTTGTATAAGGTTACCCAGAGGCAGAGACCTGAGGCACCCAATTCTCTTGGCTACAGTTCGCCAGGAGCCCTCCTGGAAGGCTCCTGTCAATGCTGCTTTTTTCCAGACAAGCAGCTGTCATTTGAAAACAAAGGTCTGTCAACACAGGAATCTTTTTATTTAGAACGTAGAATCAAATAAAAAGGTACCCCTTGAAAAACTCAGCTTTGTGGGAAAGGGCACTGTCTAATACAAAAGCATTACAATGAAAAATTCCCAGCCACCTTGAATAGGGATGACACCAAACTAGGTATGTTAATTTGAGTTAAGCCTTACTGCTTTTTTTTAAAGAGGGAAGGAGATGTTACACATAAAATCCTTCCAGCCCGTAAACCCTCCCACATGGTTCTCACGACTCAGAGCGACTCAGAGCTCACATTGCCTTTGAGAGGCAATCTGGACACACACCTGGGGGCGGGGAGGAGGAAAAACATCTGAATTCCTGAAAGAAAGGGAGAAATGATGCTCCCTATCGAGAACACAGTCCTTTACTTGATTGTACATATGGAACTAAGGACTGAAAAATTAAGAATCAAAGTAACTAGTGCTAAGATAAGAGCCTTATTTTTCCTAAATAAAAACATGATTTTATGGCTTCTTCTGTCAAAGACTGAGTGCCTTTGAGATCAGAATTAATTTCTGGTTTAGTCCACAGTGCTCGCCGACTTCAAAGTTTTCTTATTCAAAGATTTATGATTATGGGTTTTTTACTCCTTTTCCCACTTACACTCAACACAAATATCAACACATCACAACACAGAATTCACCTGTAACCGTACTCAGAATCACTATTTACAGCAACAGATCATGTTGCTTCATGACCAAGAATCTGTGTAGCTCCTTCCACACCCACACTGCACTCTGTTTCATTGAATTAGACACCAACAAGCATCACCAGCTAAAGTTCAAGGAGAGCAATGGATGGAAAATCTCAAAACCAATTAAGTTCTGCATGTTACTATTAACTGCCATTTCTGACTTGGAAAAAGGATACAGATTAGCCACATCATAAGGACCTCGTAGTTCTAGAGGCTAGAAAAAAAAAACCAACAAAGAAGGTTGGAGGCTGGCAGAATGTGAGCACATAGGATAGAGCTGTTTGCAGAAGCAGCCATTCGGGAAGGGAAACATAAATGCTACATAATAGCAAGCTGCTGAAGATACACTACAACAGTCAGGAAAATACCACTATTTTGCAAAACAGAGTCCCTGACTGTGAAGAAAACTGTCACAGAAAATACCATATCGACAAAAGCAAAGCAAAACAAACAGATTAAAAAAAACCCCACACAATTCTTCAGTAAAACGGTTGATTAAAAACACACAAGGTTGAAATCTTAGAACTTAGTTATATATTAACATGTAAAAATTGTAATTTTAAGTATTTTGAGCTGAAAATAAATGCTTAAACTGTTTTCACTTGAAAAAAAATCTAGGACTTACTCTTTCAGCTGCACTAGATATAACGATGTTCTGCAAAACACAAGAGAATAAAAGAACAAACATTCATCTGTCAGACAGCATCAAGAAATGGAAAACTTACGAACAGCAAGGACTTCATGAGCATTTGCTAAGTCCAGGGTGACAACACAATTAACTGTGAGTGTCCAGTGCACTCAGATGAACAGAACTCCAGCCAGGTATTAGTTTGAAGAAACAAATAAGCCCAAGCTATCTCCCCAGTATCTACAGAGAGAGAGCCACAGGGACAAGTTGTTCTTTGTAGCTATAAACCTCAGCACAGAAAGGTCTGAGCTGAATGAGCACTGTTAGAGAGCTATGGCCAAGAAGTATCAATCTTAATGATGCTATTAAACAAGCATATCTCTTATAGGGAACTTTGAAGGGACTTGAAGGGAAACGAAGAAATGCAGAGCTGTGTACACTGTGTTAAGTACTACTGCCTTTGGTGACAGTAGCTGAAAGAGACAGGGAGCCACGTGAGAGCAGTCAGGCACAGGGTGGATGCTGAGCATTATACTAAGGAAGGCATGGATGAACTTGGAAGAGAATCCCAGGATCCCTCAGATGCAGCTTACAAACCACAGCTCTAGGCACCCTGACTCTCCCAAATTTTCAACCTACTCTGTGCATTGCAGTAAAACCCAACCCTATCATATTAGCTTAATCAAACTCACGCTGATGGAGGAAACCAGTCTGCAGTCAGGTAAAGGCAGCCAATTCACACCATACATCAAGTTTCCTCAAACCTCCATCCCCATGAAAAGCACCAGGCAGAAAGACACCCTCCTCCCTTCACTGCCAAATGTTTTCTACACAACAGGTACATGACTGCTCAGGGGCTGGCAGATAGCACAGCTCAGCTGCCAGTGCTCTTCTAATGTTAAGCCACTAAGGATGCTCACTCAAGGGAAGATTGTTTAGTGCAGGCAGAAAACTGCAGCAGAAAAAAGATTCCACACACTTAAAAAAATATATATAAATATATATATATATAATATTATATATATATTATATATATATAAAATAAAAGCTTTGGGGATTCCTGCTTGAGTGGGCAACAGTGAAATTGGTACTGAGGCAGTACCTCTCTGATGTCAGTACCACCAACACACCACACCACCTCCAGTTACATGGTAGGGCTTATGATCCCTTTCCAAAGTACTGCTCACTCGTCCCACTGTCCCCCCAGCAAAGAGCAGGGCAGATGTTGGAAGAAAATGCTCTGTACACAGCTAGAACACAAACCATGAAAGAGCTGTTTGTATGGAAATGACTGCACTGTGCACACTGTGCCCAAGGTTTCCTCATGTGTCAAGAAGGAAAAGGAGGGGCTGAGAACTCTGCACAAGCATAAGGAAAGCCAGAAGCAGAAGCAATTCATACATCAAAGTGACTTAACAGCACAGAGCCTAGTTTGTTTCCTTCTGTGTAGTTCATCTTTAAAGTGACTGTACTACAGACCTCAAGGGTGCTTTTGAGCTTCATTGGTGCTGACTGTGAGAGTTCACTGTGAAAATGTCTGAGCTGTAAAAACCAATTCCTGTCTTCTCAACTCAGAAAAGCTCCCAGAGCAGCTATGCCATCTTGAACCCATCCTTGCAGGACCATGGTTCACTGCTGTGTACTGGAGACATGTCCTGGCTGATTCAAAGCTAACTGACTTCTAGTTAGAGGATGGGTAAGAAGGGAGGAGACAAACAGACAAGAAAAGTACAGCTAGCAAACAGAGGAGAAGCAGGCAAAGGCAAATCCAAGGCAAGGGCTAAGGGAAAAACTCAAAGGCAAACCATCATCTCCTCAGGTAAAAGAGAAAGCAGCTCTTCAGCACACTGCTCTGGGTGCAGTACGTAACGCTGCTACCAAAACACAGAATGTGAAGGACTGTGGCTACATACACCTTCTGTCTGACAAGGCAAGCAGGTCCCTCCCACATTCCCTGCACATTTTCAAATATTCTAAGGACTCTGCTGAAGGTCAGCTCCTTGGCCACTAAGTTTCCAGAAGTTTCTCCGTGCTACTATAACAGGAAAAACAAATAGATCCAAAAGCTGCTACAAACTCAGCACCTTTAAAAAAAGTGTACAAAAAGCTGTACAAAAGGTGACTGATGTGCAAAGTGCCAATGAAAGCAGCCCATGGAACAACCTCACTACATCTTGGTAAAAAGCGCCTTTATATAACTGATAGAGAAACTGCCAGTAAGCACTAATAGCTTTCTCTGCTGGCACACAAGGTAACAAGCCCAGAAACAAAAAATATAGGCAAGAAACAATGACAAACTAGTAATCCATTTCTAGCTTTTCCAATGGCTTACAACAAATCATGGCATCCAGCGTCAGACAGTTTACCTCCCACACACAAATGGTGTATTAAATAGACACATGCAGAAAGAAAAGGCTCTTGTACACAGACCAAACTCTCACTCTGTGATGCTAACTCGTGCAATACAAATAAGCAACTGAGTGAGAAATGTTCAGCTGCATATAGGAAAGAGGAGAGCTGGCAAGGAGGTGTCCAACATGTCTCTGCGTGCACGTGCCTTTTGTTTAAGTCAGTATTTTGTGTGACTAACCTCCAGAGATGAGCTTCTCAGGAAAGATCATGTTAAGTGCTCATTTTTTCTGTACTCATCTGTTTAGAGACTCCCATCCTACAAGACAGGTAACCACTCCTATGGGGAACTGCAATAATGACAATTCTGCTTTTAATTGGCCTCCCAAGCTCTATATCCTACTTCAGGTTGCATCTGCAGGGTAACACCAGTTTAGGCTTCTCTAGACTAGCTAAGTACAGCAAAAGTCCTTCCTAGTAAGAATGATGGGAGCTACAATCTCTTTTAACTCCGATACGTACTACTATACGCTTCCCTTTTAAAAGCAAGCAACCTGAGAGGATCGACATAGCAGAGAGCTTAGCTTGGTGGCCTGAGAGGAGGCGAGGCATGAAAGCAATGGAGTACTGGCATCTCAGCTGCAAGGATTACTTCTTCCCTTGGTTTCAGTAGCAGGGAAGAATGCAGTTGATCTGATTTCAGCAAAACCTTGGCTTGGAGCCAGCAAGCTGTTGGATCTGTTCTCTACAGTGGGGATTTCCTAACAGTTAAACAAACAGGATTTCTACCTTTTTTTTTTTCTCCCCCATGTTCAAGGTATGTTTTCAAAAAAGTGCTTTTGGTGAATCAGACCTTTGAAGTGGGGGATTTTAAAGAGATGCATGGATTTCAGTTCTAGTGCAAACTTTTTTCCTTTTGTTCTGGGTATTACATACCAAAACAACAGATAGGTTATTCTGAAAAGAAGAACCAAGCAGTTTGACAGCTTAAGAGGACAGCATACAGAGGTGCATGGCTGGAAGTATCTGGAGCCAAAATAATCACGTTCTTGTATCAGTAGGCAAAGATTCAGTCACAGCTTCATAAACCCTGTCATCAATACTCATTTAAAATGGCTCAGTCTCTACAACTCCAGGAGAATTTGAACCAAATTAATTAGCTTGCTTTCACTTTGAGAGCTTACCTTTCCTTTGCAGATCTGCATCAGGCTGATCGCATTTGAAATTGTGTATCTTCTCATTGTGGAGTCTTTGATGGCAGGTGTGTAAAGAAGTTCAAAGTAAATGCCTCGATCTATTGCCTTCACATGAAAGGAAGTGAACAAAAATCAAAAGGAGAGAAGCAGAACAATCTAACAACCACTGACTATTATTGATGCAATTTATTCACAGTTTAACTGTGTTATGAAAAAAAATGGAGATACTGTTCCAGCATCATATGAAATGCAGGGGGAAAAAATTTCACTGTACACCAGTTGTGTTTCTTGGGAGGACAGAAAGATGAGGTTTAATGAGCAAAGAAATGACACCTACTTAATAGTTGTAATTGGCTTTCCACTGTCTCAGAGAGGATGAAGCAAGTAACTACTGCTGATCATAAACTGCTGATCCCAGAAACTTCCAGGACCCTCCTCCTCCTGCTCCACTGCTGGCGATAAGCAATAACATTGCTTTCCACAGCAACCACATCTTGCAGATGAGGAATTCATCTTTGCACGAATGTAGCAGTGAGGTCCTGTCTCTTCTATCTCACAGCACTGTGTTGCTGTTTGTGATCATTTCAAAGAACAGCAGGTCGCAGTAAAGTTTCCAAATAGCAGAACTTAGTGTATATTCAGTTGCTCTAACATTCTTTGCCATCTGTGGAAGTACCTCACCAAAGCCTTGTATTCTTGTTTTCTCAAACATACAGAGAAAGGTTGAACAACTTCCTGTAGGATACACAGTGGTAAAGACAATTCCAAGCTAGGAGTTCCTCATTCCTTGGTGTATAATACATTTGCGCAAAATGCTACTTTGTGCTTCCACTCACATTATAAAACACTACAATGCTAATGCAGTAAGAGAGTCCAGTAACTGAATACAGATGGAATTAACCCAGCCATAACAGCTGCATGGAAGCTGAGTAGAAGCTATGTACATTTTAAATGTTTTACACAGAGCTAGTCCAACATCTGCAAACAAGACAACTGTATTTATCAAAACCAAAACGGGTAATGGCAATACACCAGTTTCAAGGTAAGGATACTTTTAACCTCATGCCTGCTCCTCCAGCTGGCAGCTAGTCTGCCTGCCTGGCATCAAAACAACCAAACCTCACTGCCTGAGGATGCACAGAACCAGTCTGAGAGACTGCCTTGAAGCTCGGAGTGCAGAAGATGAGAAACAGCTTGTGAGGGAAGTATCTCCTCACCTGGGTCAACTCCTAGAGTTTCAAGCAGTGAGGGTACTTTCAGACAACATTTTATACAAGATTTTTATTCCAAATGGAATACTGAATTTTAAGTCTGTGGTAAATTCCAAATAGCTACTTTCGTTCTGTTTCAGGGTTGATTCTGGTTTTTCTAGGTCGAAGTTTCTGTAAAAGACAGAAGCAGGATTTCTAGCCAGTTCCAGCTTTAAATCCTAAAGCACTAAGGACAACAGCCAAAAACGTCCAAGCAGAACAAACCTTGACATAAACTTAAAAGAAAATACTGGTTCAAGTAACCACGTGTTCAGATTAAATTTTCTGCCAAATCACCTACAGTAGACAATTAATAAAATACTTAATACATACAGATAGTTAGTTTGAGTCCCACAGCAGATATTGAGCAATCCCACATTTAGTTTACTTCCCAAGACATTCCTTTGATTAAGTAGGGTTTCAATACATCACCTTCCGAATATCTAACACAACATCCTTCTCCCAAATCAATACTGTCATTCACATTCTCCCATCTTTCAAATTACAAGACTATTTACAGCTGTACAATCCCTTCTGGTCTGGGAGGCAGCTCTGTCAGCAATCACACTACATCTCACTGGCACAGCAATAGTCATAAGGTTCTGCTTCCACTCCTTGGAAACATCTTTTCTGTCTTCAGAAGCAGAGGACAGAAAGGAAAAAGAACGAACGCACATCAATGCGTATTAAATGCTGCAAGTGGAGGCCTTGAAGTGAAGGACATCTAAAACAATACATTATGCAAGAAAATAAAAAGAACCACTTGAATGGGAATGGTGAAAAGGAAACTATAGGAACTTCAATTCAGACTGACATTTAATAGAAAAAAAAAACAATACAGGTGTCAATTTACCATATTTACAGGAGGCCTTCGGAAGTAAAACGGAAGCTTCTCTGTTACATTTATACAGACTAGATCCACATCAAGAGTTGTGCAAGCAATCTAGAGCAAAGAAACAGGAACAGATTATTAGATGTGCCATTACATAATGCAAGAAATGTCTCTCCAGAGGCAGTTCAATTTTGAAATGAAGTACAACACCTTGTAGGTGTGCCAATAGAACAGCAGTGCTCAAAGTGCACAGCCAGAGCACATGAGGCTAAAAATCCTGGCCCTTTTCTCACAGAACAGCCTTTCCAATAAAATAATGACCAACTCAAAGGCAAAACTTACTCTTTATTCTTATCTGACATGGGACATACAGAAGCAGTGCTGTTTTTTGGTAAGAGAGCTCACAGCTAATAAAGGACCCATCATTCTCTAATCCCATCATTCGTCCAGTGTTGCAGCTCTTTAAGTACTTTTACCAGCAGCAACCAAGAAAAGACTGAAACAGGAGAAGAATTTTAGAAGCGATGAGTTATACCACATGCCCAGTACTGGGTCCATGACATGGTACCTCACTTTCCTGTCTGGATAAGAAAGACAACTTTCTGAAAACCAAGGCTTTGGAGATGTCTCAAGATCGTACCTGAGCTCATGGTTTAAATACCTGGCTTTGAGCTCACACCACAAATCACATCCTGTATTAATAGAGAAGGAATGAACAAAGGGTGGAAAATCTCCACACTGACACGTATAGAAAATTAAATGGACATAAAAACTAGCTCTTGATTTACATATAATCTTATGCACACAGGACTTGTAGAAATTATATAAGTCTACCCTGTAAAGATGATTACACAGGACCAGATTAACACCTGTAAGCACTGTTGTAACAAAGAATATAAAGCATGTTGAACATGCTCAAAAGGAATTTCCAATATATAGAGGAACTCTCCACACTCAGAAACTTGCCATCCACTGCTTCAATTACATCTGGGCCAGGTTCCAGCCCTTCCTCCCTCCTTGCACCAGCATGAAAGCAGTGGGGCTGCAGGACTGTGACATTCCAATCTAGCACAGGGCTCTGCAAACTCATCTTTCAATGGTCTGTTCGCATGAAATCTGCACAGACATGAGAGCAGAGACCTAGCTTTACGACTGTTTCCTACCTTCGCTGTTGATAGCTGTTCCATCAAACTGAACTTCATCTTCAAGCCCTAACTTTACTAACTCTCTTAGGCAGAATACAAGTTGAATATACTACAAACACAAATCTGAAATGCAAGTTTAGCCCCACAATAGCCAATTTTAATCTTATCCTTACGTGTAGTACAAACTACCACTTAAACAGAGGTGATTAACAGGAACTCGCTCAAAGCAAATAGCTCTGAATCATATCCTAGAAAACACGCCAGTGAGACCATAGAAAATTCAGGGAGAGAGAAATCCAAGAAAAATGGAGAGCAAGAATACACACTAGAAGCAGGCAAGCTGCCCTGTGTGATGAGAAAACGAGCCCTCCTAATCAGTTCCAGAAACAGTGGAAAACACTTTTCCATTTTGAAAATTATGTGCAATGGAAAAGGAAGTGACCCAAATGCCAGGATATCTACAGGATTCCAGGGACAAGAAGAACTCAGAAAACATCACTGAGAAAAAAATAATAATTAAGAGTCACAATTTCACATAAAGAGGAATTTCTGAACTGCACAAAAAGTTGCAGAGGAGATTTCTCTAAACATCCTAAATTCAGCCCAGATTTGGCTCCCGGACAAGTCACACATGCAGGCAGGTTAAGGTTATCCAGCCTCCTAAAAGGATCTGAACAAAAACTTCATCCAGAAAATGCTATACAGCAGTTGGACAGCCCAGCACCTGCCTGGCCTCACCACAGGCAAGAGCTCCATCTGCTGGGAAACAACAGCCAACCAGACATAAACTCACCGGGGCTTGGATGGCCTGAAGACAGACAGGTTTGCTTTTGCAAACATTTTACAAATAAACTCTGAAATTTGGCTTTGCAGTATATCCTCAGACTTACATAAGCAAGATTTTGTAGATACTGGTGAATTACTAATTTCCTACAAACAATAGGCAGAACTAATATTCTAAAGATTTGTTTCATTCATATTTTCTTTCTAAAAGCAACAGGCCAGAGCTAAATAACAGCACAGAGCAGGCATCCCAGCTGCAGCCAAAAACAATTCTCCTTGGGAATCTTAAATAAAGAGCATGTCCTACAGTTATCTCGGCAAACACAACTTCCTCGTAGCCCCAAGGATACAAATTATTTGTAGAATTTGAGCACATTTTTCAGCACTGCCTGCCTATTACTGCCTGTCTCAGTAATAGGAAAGATTATTTTACTTGTGAGAAGCAGGAACTGACTATTTTTAGGCTGTGCTAAAACTAAAGCCCATCTACAATGGTCACATATGTCTTCTATAAGCACATGAAAAATCCTGTCCTACAGAGAACAAACTAAGTGCCAAATTGTTGGTGAGAAAGATGATGCTACTGAGGCAATACAGTTACCAACAGCCAATTTTAAAATACAATTTGTGGTGCAAGATTCAGCCTAGGCAGCTTTATCCTGCAGAGTGCAAGATTCAAGTCATTAGGAGTCAGACATGCATACTGAGATTCCAAGTGCTTGATGTTCCCCACTGATAACTCTACAAAACTCTCCATACTTACTTAGAAATCTTAAATCTTTAAATGAAATACAAACATACAAATCTGCTCTGTACGTGAACGCGTAAGGAAGATGCCTTTCACCTCATGCTGTTTGTAAGAAACACATCTGGCTTCCTCCCCAGGTCAAGAGAGTTTTGAGCACGACAGAAATTAAGATGGTCTCATTACAATCCTGTCTTCTTCCTATTATGCTGTTAGTATCTGTGAGAGTGCCAGCTTGAAGCTGCACTGGGCCTGCTCAGAGTACAGCCATCCTCACAGAGCAGCAAAGCTCAGAGCAGCAAAGCAGATCTGCCTGCAAAATAACTTGGTAAAATCTGCATAACTTTGCAATCAAAGGTGTGTTCTTCCAACCAAACAGCCATGGAGCTAAGAAAGAACCTGCACAAGCAGAGCAGAAAGGAACCTGAAGAAATGTGTGGCTGAGGGCAGGCATTATGTCAGCTTCAAAGTTGTTGCAGCTGAATGTCCAGCTCACGGATGTCTGAAAACAAAAGACAACCATCTTTACATGACAAGCTCCTGCCCTTCCTCCAAAGTCTTACAATGAGCTACTGCTGGCTATCTTTAAGTAGCTTCAGGTACTTGTTTGAACACACAATAAATTGAGTGAACTCATTTGAGAAATGAGATCAATGAGAATCTTCTCCCTGCCCTTCTCTACCATGTCATTAAGTATGAGCAATCATAAAATTGTTTGGGTTGACCTTAAAGGTTACCTAGTCTAACTCCCCTGCAATGAACAGGGACACCTACAGCTCAGTTACATTGCCCAGAGCCCCATCCAGCCTGACCTTCTTTGAATGTCTCCTCTTGAGCCTTCCCTTCTCCAAACTGAACAGCCCCAGCTCTCTCTCTGTTCCATTTCTTGGACCATTTTTGTAGCCCTCCTCTGGATGCACTCAAACAGGTCCACACCTCTCCTGTACTAAGAATTCCACATGTGGACACAGTCCAGGTGAAGTCTCACCATTGCAGAGCAGAGGGGCAGTATCACCTCCTAACCCTGCCAGCCACTCTTCTTTTGATGCAGCTCAGGATACGGTTGGCTTTCTGGGCTGTAGGGCACACTACTATCCAGATTGCCATCCGTCAGATCCCTCAGGTCATTTTTGGCAGAGCTGTGTTCCATCCTTACATTCCCCAGCTTGTACTGACAGTGGAGGTTGCCATGACCATGCACTTGGATTTGCTAAACTTCATGAGGTTCACCCAGGCCCAGTGCTCAGTCTGTCTAGGTCTTTCTGCACGGCATCTAAGGCCTTAATGAAGTCCAGACAAATAACAGCAGTGGCTCTTCCCTCATTCACTGAGGCACTTACATCACCATAAAAAACAACAAGGTTGGTCAAGCAAGATCTGCCCCTGGTGAAGGCGTGCTGGTTATCCCATATTACCTCTCCTCCTGTATGTGCCTTACCATAGCTTCCAGAAGGATCTGCTGCACGACCTTCTCAGCACACAGGTGAGGCTGACAGGTCAGTAGCTCCCTGGGTCATTCTTTTTACCCCTCTAAAAAATGGGTGTGACACTGCCTTTTTCCAGTCACATGGGAACTTCACCTGACTGCCACAACTTTTTCAAATATCTTTGAGAGTGGCTTGGTGACTACACCAGCCAATTACCTCTGGACTCTTGGGTGCATCTGGAATAAATCACAATAATTTTATGCTGCTAACAGAGCACAAAAGAAGATGATAGAGAGAAGTGAAAAGTCTTTTAGAAGTCTTTTGATTCTTGCACATCCTCAGCAGTCCAAAGTCTTGCAAGAGAAAAAGAAAATCAATCAGAAATGAGTTTCGTTAAGTTGTCAATGTTACAATTAATGCTTAAGTTCTTCTGCTTCTTTAAAAGTTCACCTCCTGTTATAGCCTCTTGCCCTATACTTCTCAAGTTTTCAAAAAGGAGAGGAAATAATTAAAAAAAAAAAATAAAAATCAGAACAATATAGTTTTAATGTTTCAAAAATAGGCATTCATCAGAACCAGAAAGTAGCTTTAGCCTAACTGAAAACCAAACTCAGCTCCCTGACCACCTCACTGTAAAGTAAACACTGGTGTTCCTCCAAAGAGATTCCCGTTTGTAGTTGGTATCCCAGTGCCTTTTTCAAATTGCACATCTGCTTTCTGCCTGCCAAGGGCAATACAGACAGATCACCTCTACCAACTCTTCCAATTCACCCTTAATGATATGACTTAGGAGCTTGCAGTAGGTCAGATGTGTCACTGTCTTGATTTTTTTTTTTTTTTTTTCCCTTTTGCAAGGAAAGCATTTTGACATGAAATTGACCTGAACATCTGAAAGCAAGTCAAACATCTGCGAGTGATCTGATTAGGACCAACTACTCACATCAAGGCCCTCCTGGGATTTCTCCCAGTCTTTCAGTCTGTGCACTAACCAGGGAACCTACGTTGTTTAATTAGCTCCATGACATGGCTACATAAAACAGAAAACAAAATCAAAACAAAGAATGCACTCAAGCTACTCCAAGACACTGATTGTTAGTGCCAGTTCTATAACAACTTACAGATAGTACTTACATGGAACAATTTCTCGGTCTTTGGAAATACAGCTATGATGTCATACAATCTTATATTTGTAGATGTAGACCTCTACAAAAGGAGGAAATGATTACTACCTTGACATCTGGCAGGTGACATATGTATACACAATAATAAAGAGAAAATCCCCTCACCATTTTCAAGCACTAAAACAAAGCCAATAATTTAATTAAATAGTAGGTCTTTACCATGACCAATTCCCTGAAGTCATTTCGAGGCCTGGCCCATCCACTTACACATACCTTTTGCCCCAAGCACAGTCCCACAAACAGACACAGAGCTCACTCTTGGTATTCTAGTGTACATATAGAAGTCCAGAATTCAATTAAAAGAATAAAGGAACAGAACTGCTACCCCATACTACCAAGTAATCAGCACAGTCACATCCAGTTTCATAAACCCGCACCCCCTCATGATGCTTCAGATTCTAGAGATCTGATCTGAGAAATCAGTACTGAGTATCCTATGAAATCCATTAAATCCTTCCCTACACAATTAAGTGACATTCTTTCATTGAGAAAAGGAAATTAAAAAAAAATAACAATAATAATTAAAAAGGAAAAACAAATACACTGAAGGTACTTACCAAGAGATTACAGTGGGAAGGATCAGAAACAACAAGTGTCAGCCGGGTTAAGACTTTAAGTCTTTTAGATGTCCCCTATGATGGAAAAATAATACAAGATTTAAAAAGCTCCAAAGCAAAACTTCATGGCAACTTTCACCCCCTCTACTATAAAAAGAAAGTTGTGTCTTGCACCAATTCTTGCCTATAAGTCTGTAGTTATGCTTCCCTAATATAAAAAAAACCACACATATTCTTTATATTGATCTGTTGGGTATTGTATCTGCCCTTCAGAAAGAAAGGCTCATTGTGTTTCTCTGAGGAATAGATCAATCTAAAGGAGAAAAATTGAAAGAAGGAAAAAAAACTCAAAAAAACCCATCATATGGAAAATATGAGTGTGCTCTATTAATACCACTCTGGTTTTCCAAAGAGGCCATGACTGGAAGCAAAAGCATCTCCTTAATTAACATACATCAGAATTGGTTCACTACATCCAAATCTTGTTCATCAAATCCAGGAAGTAATTTCCAAACCTCAGGCTCAAATTCAGACAATTATACTGCAATTATTCAACTACAACATTATTCAGAATTCATAAACAGCAATTTTAAAGAATAATTTTTGAAATAAAGCCTCCTCCAACATGAGCGTTAACATTCTTCCAATGCTTGGAGTTTGAAGAAACAAGCAGTGGACAAATTTCTCATATATTTTTTTGAACAGACGATGAAAAAAATATCACGTGTAACACACAAAGGAAAAAATGCAACTCTGTAAAACAACTCATAGCTGGAACACAATAAACACACCTGCACAATAGGCAAAGATGGAAACAGCTCTGATGGAGATACCGGCTTGGCTATTTCCTTAAAAGAAAACAAAACCAAGTTATCCAAAATATAATGGGATATTTAGAATGCACACAGAAATTGTGTTCCAACTCCAAAAATAAGTTTGCCATGCTAACAAAAGTATTTCCTAGAGACAATTCACAGACCGTACTAAAAATTAACTCCAGGGCAGTAATACAAACTTGTAAAAATCGGAGTTCCATTATAAATATAAATACAAATACACTTCATTTAAGTGAGTATGTAAAAACAAAGGGGGGAGGAGCAGCACACAGATTTATGAGAGCAAATCCATCACCAACAACAAAGCAGAACTGAAATTACCTGTTTCTTTTCTTTAAAATCGACGGTGTGATTAAGAGCAACTGCAGAATATCCCACTAAAGAAATGAACACATTGTGAGCCTGCTTTGTTCAGCAAGTAATGGAAAGAGACAAGCAGAAAACTGTCACATGCTCGTTATTTAAATATCTCAAAATTAATAACAATGTGCACATTTACCTTTCACAGCGAACTTTTCTGAACGTTAACTCACCAAAGATGTGTCTTAAGGGTACAAATTTCTTTTAACACAACCCAGCCTTGACAACGCATCCTCACTGACTGACAGTGACGGGGGCAGGGACTGCACGGCCAGTGCTAGGGCACACGGAGATCCACAACTACCTAATGGGAGCGGCTGGGCAGGCTGAGGTGTGGTTGGGAGCCTGGTGGGCAGTGGGGTAAGCGAAGGGGTGCCAGGTTCTGGCTCTGCATCGATGCTAAGGCTGAGCCTTGCAGCAGCAGCAGACTGAAAGGTGCTTTACGAGGGAAGACGTGACCACGTCCTGTCCGTGGTGGACAGGTCTAGAGGAAGCCATGAAACCTGTGCTGAAGATCAGCAACCCTGGAACAAGTTCTCTGCAGAGACTGGAGAGTAACCGGAGATGTTAAAAGCGCCGTTCAGGCACGGCACAGACCCTGTGCCCTACGAGGGGCAGAGCAGGATCGGTGCACGGAGCTTCCGCCCCATCCAGCCCCGTTTCTCCAGCCTTCACGCCGCTGCCGCAGCCCTCAGCTAGAATCTCCCAGCACAGCCCGCCCCGGCCTCAACAACACATCCCGACTCCCAGCCCCGACTCACGATGCGCTGCGGTCTCCAGCAGGCTCTGCACGGCCTTCCTGTCCGCGCCCTGCGGCACGTTCAGATCGGCGAAGCCGGCCATACTGCGCAGCGCGTGGCGGAACGAAGACTACGGGCGCAGCCGGCACCGCCCCCGGCAGCCTGGAGCAACCTGGGGCTTGTAGTCCTGCTGAGGGCAGCAGGATGGGCCTCGGCCAGGAAGGCGGGGCTCTGGACGACGGGGGGTGTGAGCTTTCCGGAGCTCCTGAACGCGTCCGTGAAGGCTGCGCTGGGGGCGGAGCAGGCGGGCGCTCGGGGTGCGCGTGCTGCCCAGCAGGGGGAGCCGCGCTTCTGCTCCTCTACCGGCCGGATCGCCTCCTTCCGAGCGCTGCTCCTGCGTGCCGGGAGAGGAGCCGTTCCTAGTTATGGCCGTAATGCAGAAGCGCTGAACAGTTCCAGTGGACTGCAACTCACATACGCTTTGACTCTGTAGCACTGTTGCAAAACTCACTTATTTTATTGCTGCTGATCAGTATGGAATATGTGAAATACAGGTGGTAATGACTTCCTTTCGTTGTTGTTTGGGACAGGCTGAAAACTTTATAAGCTCCCTTTAACCACTGGAAGGCTGCAATGAGATCTCCCTGAAGCCTTCTCTTCTCCAGACTGAACAAGCCTATCTCCAGAGAAGTGCTCCAGCTCTCTGAGCACCTTCATGGCCATCCTTCTGACCCACTCCAATAGCTCCACATCATTCCTGTGCTGGGGGCCCAGGCTTGGACACAGTGCTCTAAATGGGGCCTCACAAAGGTAGGGCAGAGGGGAACAATCACCTCCCTCTCCCTGCTGCCACCCCTCTTTCAATGCAGCCCAGGATACAGTTGGCCTATGGGCTGCAAGCGCACACTGCTAGCTCCTATCCAAATTTTTGTCCATCAAGACTCCAAGTCTTCCTCTGCAAGGCTGCTCTCACTGAGTTTTTCTCCCAGTCTGAATGTCTGGTGTTGCCCCAACTCAAATACAACACTTAGAATTTGGCCATGTTGAACCTCACTAGGTTTTTGTGGGCCCACTTTTCAAGCCTGTCCAGATCTCTCTGGAAGGTGTCCCTTCCTTCTATGTTTTGGCAAAGGAGTTCTGCTTTGGCCTACTTGTGCCCATAACATGTTTCCTATTGGAACAGCCAGAGCTGCTTCTCTGCCATTTATCTGAACACACAGCCCAAATTGTCTTCTCAAGGCTCTTCTGTTAAGTGTGTGAACATTCAGAGAGATCTCAAAGCATTATTTGAAGTTTTCTTTGACAGTGTATGATGGAACTTGATTTAATTTGTCTAAATAAATGCAAGAAGAAATCCATAAACATGTATCAATTATTTTGTGAATGGCCCTATTGGACTAATGTTCAGAGACATTAAACAAGATTAAGCAGCATTTGTGTCTGGCAACAGACAAGCAAAACAAACCATTCCTCGAGGCACTTAAAATGGAGAGCACTTAAACATCAATTCAGAACTCTCTGTGATGGCCTTTCCAGCACCACATATCATCAATTACTTATGCACATCAGTGTGCAACCTTATTTCCTCCATCAGCTACTTGGATGTTAACATTTTTGTTTAGACCAGCCCCAGCGATCTACTTAAAACATAGCTGTGGTCCTCACTGTCAGTCACAAACTTCAAACATGCTTTGTTTCACCTGTCCTGAAGTCCTCCTAATGCAGCCAATTTTTCTCCCCCTTGTCTATGTTTTTCACACCATGTTTAAATTGTAAGGAAGACCTTTTCAAGTCTGATGAAGTGATATTCTTCTAATGTGCCTCCAGTGGGCAGCCCAGGGTAGCAGCTGTCATATATATATATATATAGTATAATATATATTGTATATATATGTGTTTCTTTGGCTTTAGTTCTGCATTTAGCATTTTAGGTAGCTAAAGATGTTTGGCACCACCTATCTCAGCAACTCAATAGCTTGAATCTCAGGGTCACTTTAATCATAACCTTCACAGTTTCCTTCATAAAGTTGCAGGCAGAAGTTTCAGGGATGAGAACTGTTTTTCAGAGTGATCAAGAATTTCTAGAATAAATTTCATTCTAATTGTTTTTTTTCTTTTCAGCTGACAGCTTGCTGTTCATATTTGCTGGTTCCAAAAAAGGAAGACATCACTTCACATTTATTTTCCTTGCACAGGTGCGAGTATTTATTTTGACAATGATAAGAAATGCCAGATATGTGAATGGTTACCTCTCTATTTCACCGCCACAGAGTGGGGATGATTTATTTTCACAAAAGTAAGAAAAGACAGAAAAGAAACTGCAGCTGCAACATCTTTGCTAGAAGTTGGACAGGAGTGTTATTTGTTAACTACATGCTGGGAATAAAAATCAAGGTTCCAATAATATTTGTCCATGGAATTTTAACCAGCCTGATAAAATATTCTAAATATTTTGACAATGTATTTCCCCAAGGTAGAAGAAATGTGTATCTATACTTTATTTATTATTCCCAGCATCAGGTCTTCACCAGACTTATATTGGTTTCCAGGAACAGGAGATGAAAAGGAAAGAAAAAAATATATAACAGGCAAATGAAAATGACAGTTTATGAAGACAGACTGGATCAGGCAAGGAAGGACAACAGGGGAGATGATAAAAAAAGAAGGGAAAATAGCAAGAAGAAAAGCCCTCTTTATTACATTTCATACTCATGTTGTGGGATGAAAAGGATCCAGAATTAAATTGCTTAAGAAGGAAAATGTAGCAACACCTTTAAGATTTTATGTTAAGATGAGCACAGATCTTGTTTTCCAGATATAGCTGTGTGGGGGAGTCACTAAGCTGGGCTGCTCCTGAAGTTCTGCATGCTGCAGTCCTGGACCCACTTCAGGCAGCAGGCCATGAACTAGCAAGACCTGCTGTTCCAATGGACTCTGTGAGCAGCACACCCTCAGCAGAGGGGTGAAGCATGCAGAATGTAGGGTGAGTTCTTTCGTCACAGGCACCTTCATAGAAACAGACTGGACTCACCAAATCAACATGTGCTGGTGACATTTTATTTCCTGTATTTCCTCCAAACATGTCTATCTTACCTTAACAACACGGAAGCAAATAATTGATATAAATACCTACTGTTGTATTTTATGCTCTGTATGAGTCTTAAATTCCGAAGATGTTCTGTGGCTTTTTAATATATTTCCCTCCTCTGGTGGAGAAAAAAATATATATATATATATTTTTTGAGGGAAAAGAAATTTTTAAAAAAGCTTTTAAAAAGCTTTAAAAAATCAAAGAAAAACTTCAAAGAAAAATCAATAAAAATGTCAATAAGTGCATGAAAAATGGTGGACGAGAGCCCTACAACAGAGTCAGGGGTACACAGAAATATGAAGAAGATTTTATAGGTAAGCAGCCTGAAGTACTCAAAGGACAGTTAGCTAAGCTGTGACAAATGGATTTGATGCTATTTATTGAAGCCTAATGTTAGGTGAAGAGCTAGTATCCTGAAAAGGGAGAGAGGTTTCACAAATGCCAGCTTGTTCAAGACAGCCAGTCAGCCAACCATAGGTTTAATTTCTGTATGCTGTTTGGAACAACAATTAGAATTTTTATTTAGGATCACTGAAGACAAAAGCAGAATGTTGACTTGGAAGGATCAACTTCTAATGCTGTATGTGTTTGATTTTGAATTCATAGAACAGATGTAGTCCCATGGAATGAGGAATGTTCTCTGCTGTCACAGGCACTGGAGATGGGAAAACCTCTGAAGCACACAGGGAGAGCAGCTCACCAGAGTCAGTCCTGGAAACTGGAAGGTTTTTCTAAGTGTGCCCCAGTGAAAAGATTTCAAGGAAAAGATTTTAGAGAAGCACCAGCAGCTTAATCTTGCCAGTGTTTTGCCTTTTTCTGTGATAGCATATAACCTCCCTTTCTGTTATAGGATATAAATCTCTTTGACTTCAATTGGCTCATCTTTTAAAATATAAGATTAAGAGAGTAAACACAAAGAATGGCTGCATGTAATCTTTGAGAAGGAAAGAAATCAAGTAATTAACTTCTAATTAATTGTTTGGGGACTTGATACAGAAAAAAGATGAGACTTTTACCCCCTTTTAGGTTGAGATGGGTACATATAACACGCAAATGATTGTGCATATATTCCACTGAGTACACTTTCTAGAGTCATGTTCCAGAAGGAATCCATGAAGGGCTGTCAAAAGGAATGAGTGTTTAATGAACTGTGTCAACACATTTGCAGGAAGCCCCAGATTATAATTTGCTCTGTAAAGTGATGTTTTAAGTAACTGAAAAATTGCCTTACAGCAAGTATTAAACTACACGATGTTATCAGTTCTTATGATATGAATCTATTTTAAACAAAATTTTTCCAGTTCCGATCTCAGATACTATTTTAGAAAAATGTATTCACACAATGAGGAAATAATCTCCTTTCTCCACGTTGCCTTAATGCTTTAACTTATTATGATGTGTCCTTGCCATACCAAAGATTCATTTTCCTCTTACTGTTTGCTTAGCAGGGGAGGAAGGACAGGGGCTCTATCACCTGGAAGGTAAGTCATCTGCAGCTCTAAGTTCTGGAATATGTTGTGGGCAGTTAAACAGGGAAGGATTTTATTGCGAGTGGACACAGTAAGGCAGCTAACACTGAAGTGCTGGAAAAGTCTGAACAGGAGAACACTTTTAGCTCTGTCATGGTCAAAGAGCTGATCTCACAACTTGATATTGCTTATTTTATGATCCTACTCAAATCAAGATGTGGAGGCAGCAGGGAAAGCCAGCACCTGAGCTGCCCAGTGCTGCTCACTGTTTGAGATACTGTGACCCTGGGGAGCTGCCTGCACTCACATTGTGCCAGGGCAGCTTCTCCCCTCACCTGACCCCAGTCCTTGGTCCTGCTCACAGGAGTGGGGCCAACACACTGCCGCATGTGTTAAAAGGCCTGTTCTGGGGGTAAGGCGATGCTGACAGAATGGAAGATTTCATTAAAACTGAGAATGATATGTTTGCTGTGGATTGGTGCTAGGAGTGACAGATGAGTTTTATCAGACAGCTGAGTGGTTACCAGGTCTTTCTTCAAAGCAGGATTTTATGGCTGCATGATGTCAGCTCATTCTTACTGCGGGGCCACACAAATGGTTCTTCTCTCCCTGCTGTGCATACTAAAAATAGTGCTGCTGTGCCATTACCTCCAATTACTCCTCTCATATAACAGTGACATTGGTCAATGGTTATGATCCATCTGAGGGCTCTTGTTTCTTCTGTTGTCTAGCTCCTCTCTTGCATTAGAAATACATAAGAAGCAAGTGTGTTTCATGCTTTTGCTACTTATGGTCTAGCATGACAGCATCCTGACAAGCATGATTCTCTGTGGTCATCCCCCTGAAGACTCAGTCCTTGCTGTGCTTGGAGGTGGGGAAGAGACCTCCAAAACTGAGAAAGCTCTGAAGTATCCGGAATGGGATCAGGAGTCCCGGTTCTGGGATCTCTGCAGTACCAACAGTAGTTCAAAGAAATGGTTTGGTTGGTGTTGGTTTTTGCTTCTTTTTTTTTTTTTTTTTTTCTTTTTCTTTTTCTTTTGTTTTTTAACTTTACTGAAAGGATTACACGTGGGGTAGTGAATGAGTTGAAAACAATGTAATGTAAGTAATAAAAAAGGAAACGCAGGTACTGGAATTCACATTGATAGAATAATAAGGGAGAAATCTAAATCCTGAAGATCCCTAAGCCCGCAGACACGCGTTCTTGGGAGAGCACCACGAAGCGCCGCGGTCCCCTTTCCCCGCAGCAGCGGAGCCCTCACAGCTCTCACCGTCCCGCAGCTCTCGGCACTCCCGCGCCCTCCCGGTGCTGCATCCGCCGCACTCTCCGCGAGCCGTCCCGGCCGGAGCAGCGCTGCCCGCTCCCATGCCGCCGCACACCGCGGCCGTCCCGCCGCCAGCGGGAGGAGGGAGCGGGGGCGGAGCGGCGGCCGGCCCGCTCCCGGCTCCCCGCCGCCGTCGGAGCACGCCGCCGCCGCCGCCGCTCGGGCCGGGCCGGAGGCGCGCAAGGGATGGCGCGGTGCCCGCCCCGCAGCCGCCCGAGATGCGTCGCGGGAGAGCGCGGCCGCTCCGGGGGAAGTTGAGGGCCGCTCCGGCGGCTGCGAGGGGGCGGGCGGCGCCGGGCGGCCGAGGAGGAGCCGGAGCATCCCGGGCAGCGCGGTGAGCCGGGCGGTGGGGCTCGATGGGCAGCTCGCGCCGCCATGGTCATCGCCCTCAACGGCAGCCACCTCTACGGTAACCTCCGGCCCTTCGCGCTGGAGGAACCGCGGACGCTGGGCGGCGGGAGGATGATCGCCGGCTCGTGGCCCCCGCGCAGCCTGGCCAAGCTCGGCCCTGGCGGCACTCCCCCACCGCTGCCCGCCGCCAGCCCCGCGCCCGGGAACGACTCGCAATGCGGGGAGCAGATCCTCAGCTACGGCAACGTGGAGAAAGTTGTCATCGGGGCCGTGCTCAGCCTCATCACGCTGCTGACTGTCGCCGGCAACTGTCTGGTGGTCATCTCCGTCTGCTTCGTGAAGAAGCTGCGGCAGCCCTCCAACTATCTCATCGTCTCGCTGGCCCTGGCCGACCTCTCAGTGGCTCTGGCCGTCATGCCCTTCGTCAGCGTGACTGATCTCATCGGTGGCGAGTGGATCTTCGGGCGCCTTTTCTGCAATGTCTTCATCGCCATGGATGTCATGTGCTGCACAGCCTCCATCATGACCCTCTGTGTGATCAGCATCGACAGGTGAGCGACCCCTGCTCCAGCCATGCTGGGGACCCTCTGCTCCCCACTTTTTCCCGAGGAAAGAAGAGGCTCTTGATGAGCCCAAAGTGCAGTGTGAGCCCTGCAGTCTCTTGTTTGAAGGAGCTGGGTGCCCCGTTAGCCCCAGTTAGCCATGCTGCTCTTCCCACAGAGCCTGGGAGGTCACAGCTTTACAGCTGTGTGTGGTTTCTGTGGCTGCCTACAAATAAAGCAAGCGAGCATTTGTTGCTGCTTTAACATGTGCAACGTGTGTCTTCAGTTGTATTGTAGCAAGGCTGAAGCTGAGCTGTTTCTGGGGTTGATGTCTCTGTGAGTCACTGGAGTTTGGTGGAGTTTCACCAGGTCAGAGCTTGCTCAGGAATTACAGCTCATTGGGTTTTTACCATTATTCTGGTACAGCCTGGGAATAGCTGAGTTTCAAGTAGCAGAACCACTTTGGACAAGTAATCTTATGACTAAAGGAAAAATTGCTTTGAAGTATTTGCCTCTCTATATATATATCTTCAGTTCCCCTTAAAACAACAAACAGGTATCCTCGTGGACAGCCAGCTTCTTCCAAAAACTAGTCCAGGCAAGCATTTGGGCAATAAGAAGGTGTAGATAGGCTACAGGAGGAACCCAGGTATTTCTGATGTTAAGGCCATCCCTGAGATCTCACATATGCCCATGTCTAAGCTCTCCTCTGCAGAGGAAGGCTAACATATTCCTTTAATTCCTGAGGTCCAATCTGAAATCAGATACAGCCTGTAACTTCCCTTTTGCACAGCCTAAATTGTATGCCAGGCATCTTAGCATCTAGAGTGAAACTGTTTTCCTTACAACTCAGCACAGCTAGCAGAAAACAAAGAACTTCCTAACTGTAGGAATCGTAGGTTTATCAGAGTCCGATATCAAACAGTTGCCTTGACTCTTGTCTACTTCAGAAAGTTTTTGGGAAGGACTGCACTGAGTTTATGCAGAGAAACAGTCTTTCAGAAGAGTCCAACAATAACTGGAGGTTGTTTCATTCATTTCAGGTCAGTTTCTATTCATTTCAAGACTTAATTACTTTGTAAGCATCCCCTGCTCTGATGTTCTCTACTTTGTGAATTCTGCGGGGCTAGCAGATATGTGAACGCTGCAAAACATCTTGTAGCAATGAAATCTACAGACAGACTTTGATAGCATCAAAGGATTTTGTTATTGTTATTTTTGCTTTTAACTTAATTCCAGTATTGTAAGAAAATACAAGTAGACTTATCTTCCTTCCCAGTGTTGTTCTATTTTTCTCACCTTGTCATTTTTGAGATAGGTCATTTCATTTTCCCATGCTTGCAGCATAAAATATTTTCATCCATTGATCGTTCTTGATGTTCGTGACTGAGCTCTCCATCTCTATTTCTAATAACCTTCTTAAGACAGGTTAACATCATTAATCTCTCTTAGCCAAATAAGGATGTGTGGCTGATTCACTTAGTAGCAATGGAGTAAGTAATTTTTCTTCCTTGTCATTGCTTCACTTGACATTTGAGCTGACTGCTGTGTGCTAAGCAAAGGCTTCTGCTGAGCTAATCATGGGGATGAGAAGGTCTCTCACTTTTTCCTTTCCTTTATATTCCCCCTCTCAAATAAAAACTTACAAGAGATAGAGCTGTGTATTTTGAACATAACATAGCCTATTATAAATGACTGGTTTTTATTTACTGGTTTAAACTAGAATCATTCTCCTCTTGTCTGTTCCTACCTATATTTCTGAATGTTTGTTTAACATGATATCTTCATAATTCATTATACCCTTTTCTACTTCCTACTTGAAATCAAAATTCTATCAGTTCATCAGGATGCTCTAACCTCTGCAACTCACATCCATGGGATAGTTAAGATAGGTAATGTTGTAAAGAGAAGGAGACAAGCCAGCAATTCATTAGCAAAATGTCTTCACCATTTGGCAATAAAGAATTTTAAAATTCCATGATTTGCAATCCTATTTAAAAATAAATAATCTTAAACTGCTGTGAGAGTGCTCAGACAGACCAAAGATGAACTTGAGAGGTTAAGTAGTCTTTGAATGGGGAATATGTGGAAAATATGCAAACCACAGAGTGCTGATGAAAAATAAATGTGAATGATAAAGTGTTGCCACTGTAAGTTAGTGGTTCCAGCTTACCTGCTATTCACACATTTGCATAGTTAGGAAAGTTTTAACAAATCAGGAGACATACCTCTGAAAAACAGAGTACTATTAGATAAAGCAATGGGACAGGAGCTAGCAAACCACAATGCGTGAGGTGCATCAAAGGCCACTTTTCACAGGTATGATGGAAACACTTGCATGTTTTATGTTACCTAGGAGAAGAAGATCTCTGGTGATAAAGCCCTTATAATCCCACTGCAAAGAATAAAAATATGAAATGAACCAGGAAATTCAGAAGCAGGGGACAAGTGAATAAAATTCACCATGGTTTCAACATGGCCACTGTCCTGTGTGCTGTTAGATACACTTAAACCTAGTAGCACAGTTTAGTCGTCCTGTTGTCTCCTGCTTAGAGAGAAGGGACAAAATCTGTTAAAACTGAACTTTTTTTTCCAAATAACTAGGCTCATGGAATAGTTTGGGAAGCCTTTGTCATCTGGTAGCATCTCTCCTGAAAGGAAGGATACAGCTGTATTAGGCAGTGCAGAGTCAGCAGGCAAGTTGAATGTTTTCAAGTTTTCATTATTAAACCTAGGTTATTCCCAAAGCAGATATCACTCAAATGCAAACAGCTGAAAGAATGTTACTATTGAATAAATCTAAACAAAAGCTTGATTACAAACCGTTAGGCAAAGTTTTTGTGGAGAGGTAGTATGGTTTGTTGGACAAACAAATGTAGCTGGTAAGAAAGAAGTTTGAAGCCCATCCAAAGAGGATAAAATAAATAAATTCCAGGGGCTTTTTGATTTGTTTTACTTGCAGAGGTATAAGCTATTGGCTCATGTCACTGAATGCCAGCAGCTGGCAGGCCTACTGCATGTGCAGAGATTGTACTCTACAGCCCTTGGGGACAGACACATTTTTACCTGAATTTGTAGGAAAATACAGATTAACATGGAGCCTACAAGTGGACTGGTTTGATTCTGTTGCCTGGTCAGACACGTCCCACGTGGCCTGTTCCAAAGGAGCGTGCCACTGCCTGAAATTATACAGAAAGGTCTTGAAGGATGCCTTTTACTATTCTTTCCTTTTCCTCTTGCTTTTATTTATTTATTTATACATGTAGCAGAGTGTCAGCAAAATGTATCACTTGTGTTTATAAGCAACTGGTTGACAGAGGCCTGCAGGTCGGCAAATGCAAGGCTTCCCTTTTACAGCAGCAGTATAGTTCCAGGTTTAGGCACCATGTCAAGTTTTTCACCTTCTCTATGTTTAAACACAGGTTCTCGAATAGGATACATATTTGAGAAGAATGTTATTGAGAGCAAGGGTTTGAGATTCAAACACAACCTATCTTTTGTCTGAATAGAGCTGCTTGTGCTTTTTTAGGTTGCTTCTGCTCTAAGCTGTATAAATGTTAAGACTGCAATCATGCTAATATGTAGATCTCTGACTTCGTACAGCATTTACAAGGAGAGGCCAGTCTGAACAGGTCATACAGTTATCTACATAGAACTGAACTGTGGGGTGATCATGAGAGAAAGTCCACAACAATATCAAGTTATTGACTATTAGGGTTTTTTATCTGCTTTTTATTTCACAACACAAAAACCTTCACAGATCTTTATTATGGTGACCTGACATTAACATATTTTTCAGGAATATCTGCCTCATTTAAGTCACTTTGGGAAGGAAGCTATCTGCTTACAGGCAGAAATAAGACCAGACATGACATATGCAAGTGTGTTTCCACCTTTCCAAATTTCGTAAGGATTAAACAAATAAGGCAGCTTGATACCTCCACCATCACTATCACCTCTGCTATACTCTATCCATTATATGAGTGGTAGCTCTGGAGAAAGGTAGGAGTTACTGAGACTGGTGAAATATTTGTGCCTCACCGAATAGTAAACTATTTAAAGCATTTCTTAGTGGGTTTTTGTTTTTGTTTGTTTGTTTGTTTCCTTTTAAAGCTCAACTTTTCTGGCTCTGAATTAAATTATACTGCATTTAGATTTCTTTACATTTAAGAGAGCTTGAACATCAGCAGGGAATCACAAGGGAAAATGCAAAGCCTGTCTTAGTGGATGAATGAACATCAAAGAGGAATTAATTGAATTTAATCAGGTGTTGTTTGCCTGCTGATTCATCATGTTATTCTGACCCAAGATAACTACAGAATCCTGTTTTGGAGAGTATCCACTGAATAATTGCATCAGTAGCAATTTTTAATTCAATTTAAAAATAACTTTTTGCCTTAGAAAGTAATAAAGCAATATAACTATAGTTGAAGAATTCTAACACTTGCTCCACACCCACATAAATAATGAAACACTTTTGGGGGAGCTTTACCAGTTTGTATCCTAGCCAACAATGTATGACTATTCCAGACTTCCTTGAAATTGATGAGGATTTTCAATTCTCATGCAAACAGTAGAGTAATGTGGCTTTTTGTTGTTCCTGAGATTTTTATATACAAGGAATGCTCCTCTTTCCTCTCTCTGTATGATATCTTTTACGATGCTCCATGTAACTATGAATAATTATGCTTTACCTTAGCATATGGATGCCCCTAAGTTCTCACCCATTTCATGTTCCTGGAAGCGTGGCTGGGAACTAAGGAGTGCTCACAGGAATAGCTTGTGCATAACTTGTAAATAAAGTCTCCAGCACTTTAAGTAGCATCCAGGTGTCTACTCTCCGCTTACATCCAAAACCGATTACCTGACCTGAAAATGTTGTCAGCAATATCCTAAGCCTTATGACACCTAGAAGGTCTGTGTGGCTTCTGTTCAGAACAGAACTCTTTTGCCTCTAGGCCATGGGTGAAAATGCTGCAGGCTGTTCTGTTAACCCTGCTCTTCAGAAT